TTTATGGAAAGTTCGGGAATGCTAAAAGCAGTCTGCTTCCATGGTGGACCAATAATATCCTACTCGTAGGATCTTTTTAGCCATGGTATATCCACTAGAATTAGTGCCAAAGGTACCTTCATGTAAATCTGCCATAATCCTCCCTGCTTCGCTCTTGTCTACGCACCAAAGTAAAGTAGAGTCATGGTTGCGCTTGTTGAGGATTCCATTATTGAGGAAGAACTTTGCAGAGAACCTTCTCAGAAACTTTTTATCATTGATAGATGCCCCTTTGGGATATTATTGAACCTCGAGACACCTCTTCACTTTATAGAACCAAGGTTTGTCTGCTGCTCCTTCAGTGTCAATCTCGTAGCAGTATGCTGGTTCATTAACCTCTCAATGGTAATTCGGGGAGCCTCATTGTCCCACTTGACCTTGAACATAGATGACATGGTAGCTATCGCGTCCCCAACTGATTCTCTTCTCATGGGAAACGTTCAAAGGTGACCTCTTCAAAGTGTGGAAGCAATGACAACATATGTTCTTTGTACGGGATGAGATTCGGGTGCTTCTTATCCCACTCTCCCTTGATCTGACTTATTACCAAGGCTGAATCCCAGAAAAAGCTCAAGAACTTGATCCTCAAGTCAATAGTAGCTTTGAGACCCATGATGCATGCTTCATACTCCACCATATTGTTGGTACAATTGAAACATAATATGGCGGTTAAAGGAGTATGACAGCCTTCAGGAGATATAATTACGTCACCAATTCCATTTCCGAGTATGTTCGAGGCTCAGTCAAAAACCATAATCCATCAGGATCCTTCTTCAGGTCCTTCATCCGGTCCTGGTTCTTCATAGTCAGTCACTAGCATAATATTCTCGTCCAGAAACTCAAAATTCATAGACTGGTAGTCATCCACGGCCTGATGAGCTAAATGATTAGCTAGTACACTTACCTTGATTGCTTTCTGGGTTGTGCATTGGATATCATATTCGGTCAAGATCATTTTCCATCTTGCTATTCTTCCGGAGAGTTCGAGATGTACTTGATCGGACCCATCTTAGATATCATTAAAGTAGTGTGGATCAACATATACTGTCTCAGTCGGCGAGCAACCCATACCAAAGCGCAATAATTTTTCTCGAGCAGTGAGTATCTTGTTTTACAGTCGATAAACTTTTTTCTAAGGTAGTATATTGCATGCTCTTTTCGACCAGACTCGCCATGCTGCCCCAACACACACCCCATTGAATTATCTAACACTGTTAAGTACATTATCAAAGGTCTTCCTTCAATCGGAGGCATCATAACTGGTAGTTCTTGAAGTTATTCCTTGATTCTCTCAAAGGCGGTCTGGCATTCGTCATTCCACTTTACCACTTGATCTTTCTTCAAGAGTTTGAAGATCGGCTCACAAGTAGTAGTTGAATGGGAAATGAACCTGGAAATGTAATTTAGTCGTCCCAAAAAGCCTATGACCTCCTTCCCAGTGCGAGGAGCCGACATCTCTTGTATAGATTTTACCTTTTCAGGGTCTATTTGGATGCCCTTGTCACTAACAATAAAACCCAGCAGTTTACCAGACCTCACCCCGAAGGTGAACTTGTTTGGATTCAAACTCAGCTTGTACGTCTTCAACCTATCAAATAGTTTTTGTAAATGATCAAGGTGTTCTTCCTTATTTTGACACCTGGCTATCATGTCTAAATATACCTCTATCTCATGGTGAATCATGTCAGGAAATAAGGTGACCATGGCTCGCTGATAGGTTGCCCTAACATTCTTTAATCCAAACGACATCACTTTGTAGCAGAAAGTGCCCCATTGCGTGATGAAGGTTGTATTCTCCATGTATTTGGGTGCCATTGTGATCTGATTGTAACCAGAGAAACCATCCATGAAGGAAAAGATCTTGTGCTACGCGATGTTGTCAACCATAACATCAATGTGGGAGAGTGGAAAGTCATCTTTGGGGCTTGCCCTATTCAAATCTGTGTAGTCCACAGACATCCGTACATTACCGTCTTTTTTTAGGAACCGGAACTACGTTGGCCACCCATTGGGGATAAGAGTGACGGCTAAGAAACCAGCGTTGAACTACTTCATAACCTCTGCGTTGATCTTCTCTGAAATTTCAGGGCGCATGCGACGAACCTTCTGCTTTACCGAAGGGCAATCTTCTTAAGTTAGAAGATGGTGAACCACAATATTCGTATCCAGTCCTGGCATGTCTTCATATGACCAGGTGAAGATCTCGACATAATCATGCAACATTTGTATCAGCCGCTGTTTGACATTAAGTCCCAGATTTGCGCCGATCTTGACTTCTTTTCTGTCTGCCATTGTGCCCAAGTTTATTGTCTCAACTGGCTCTTCATGAGGCTGTATAGCCCTCTCTTCCTGCTGTAACAGTCTAGCAAGTTCTCCAAGAACCTCACAATCTACCTCACCTTCGTACTCGACTTGGTTGATCAGATTTTCAAAGTTATAACTGGAAATAGCAGAATTGTTATTAATGGGATCCAAAGTGGACGTGGATCTGGAGTTTGATACGTGATTGTGTGTAAGAGCATAGCTGTATAGACAAAGTAAAAGTAGAAAAGAAAACAGAGAGCGCAAAATTTATATGCATAAATGTCCAATGCTTTATTGATTCCATATGAAAGTGAAACATGATAACCCTCACAAATAAACTGATGTGCCCCGGGTAAGACACATGGCCATAAAGTCATATTTTTTATTACATATCCAAAAAACAAGAAAGACAATTACTTCTGAACAAAAGTAATCGGTACAAAATCCTTTTTTGTCCAGTTATTGGGTCCACCGTTGGTAGTAGGGAAGATCCAGTTGTCCATGTCATTGTCAATGTCAGAATTTTCTATGGCGGAGACAACTTCAATAGAATTGATTCTCGAGCCGTGCTTAGGCATGGGTGCAATTTTGACGTTGGGAGTCTCAGAAGAATCAAATTTAATCTCCTTTGCCTCGATCAGATCCCGAACCTTGTTTTTCAAAGCCCAACAATCGTTTGTATCATGACCTGGACTTTCCGAATGATAAGCACAACGAGCATTTGGATTGTAGCGGGGGAGGTAGTGTTGGGATTATTCGGGGCTTCCTTCAGAGTTACCAGATTGGTCTTCAATAATAGTGGCAAAATTTGAGTCAGAGTCATATTTATCCGGGTAAACTGTCTTACCGGCCTTTCTGTTCTTAGTTGATTATTCCTTTGTTAGGTAGTGTAGCGGTGAAAATTGGAGATCAAGCTATTAATTAACTTGACTCACAAAAGCAAGAGTCACCACCGCGCTTTATTATTTCCAAGGGAAAAGGGAAAAGAGCGAAATAAAACCCTAAAATATGCAATGTAAAGTAATATTTAGAAGTAATGAAAATACAATGCGTTTTTTAAAAGAGATCGAGAGTTCGGGGGTTGGTTATACAATGGGAAGGTATTAGCACCCAATGCATCTGCGGTACTCCACAGGAACCGTTTGAAATATCTGTTTTTTTGGTTAAAATTGTTTGTTTGATTAAAATGGTTCATTTGGCTAAAAATAGGTGTTGGCGAGATTTTGAAGATGTGATAACCTAATGTCGAAGTTTTGACTTAAAAGGTATGAGTTTGAAAATGGAGTCTTTTGGGAAAATTATCTTAAGTTTGGAAAAATAGTAAACAAGCAAAAAAATGAATGAGGCTATTCGCACGATTGTAGAAGACGTATTTGATGACATGAAGTCAGCTGAGTTGAAACATTTCCCTTGGAATTAATCATAAGTGGGTAGATCTAATATTCGAGTAAGAAATCATAAATAGTTAAAATCCACGAGAAACGAACAAGGTAGATAACAAGATAAATTGTAAGAAACTAAATGAATGGACAAAGAAGAATCATGAATAAAAGAAAAGTGTAATTAAAAAATTATCTAGACTAATTTGAAATTCTAAGGTTACTAAGTAAACTAAACTTAAATTCTAAAGTGTCTAACTAAAATAAATAAAATTTTGAAGTTATTAACTAAAACTAAATTAAAATTCTAAAGTTACTAACTGAAATTCGAAAGTTATTAAATTAAATCTAAAATAAATTAACACTCTAATATTACTGAATTAGGTCTAAACTAAATTAATTCTAAAGTTGCTAAATTACATCTAAACTAGTTTAAGTATAAACTAAATTCATTATAAAATTACTAATTTAATCTAAACTATATTAATAATAAAATTACTAACTTAAATCAAAACTAAATTAATTCTAAATTAAAGATTAAAATTCTAAGATTAAATTAAAATTCTAAAGTTATCAAAATATATCTAAACTAATTGGAAGTTCTAAAGTTATAAAATAGATCTAAACAAATTAAAATTTTTAAGTTATCAAAATATACCTAAACTAATTAAAGGTTCTAACATTACTAATTTATATCTAATTAAATTAAAATTCTAAAGTTATTAAATTAAGTCTAAAACTAATCTAAATAATTAAGATCGTCTAGTTAACTAAAACATAGTTGTTTAATTAAATCTACAAATAACTAGATTAACTAAACTAATTATTATTTAAAATAAACAAATTGAGAGGGTATAACTAATAATTATTGGAGGGGGAATAGTAAAAGCGGTTGGAGAACGGTCGCAGCTAGGAATTGATGGAGGTTGGATGGTGTGGAGTAGTGAAACAGAGGCGTGAAGGGAGTATGAAGCAATTGGTTTACTGTTAGTTGTTTTTGTTTTTTTTTTTAAATGAATCAAGATTAATAATTCTAATAGTATTTTGTATAGATGAAACACTTCATTATGGATTTGTTATCCATAAGTATTCTAGCATAAGACAAGGAGATTCAACCTAATCTAAACTTGAGATATCATATCATATTTGAATATTTCCAAATGAAATGGAATTTCACTACAAAGCAGGTAAGCTGGACTAACATGGTAATACTGAGCAGCTGCTGCAAAAATAACTGATTATGGCAAATACAATAAAATGCAGATTAAAGAATCCAAATTAAAAGAACTCAAAATCCAGATATTTACCCCCAGGCTTCATTTCATTGTTACCTGACATCCTCTTACTAGTACTGCCAAACCTAACAGCATCAATTGCTGGTCCAACCTTAATTGGTGGTGGCGGCGGCGGTTCGTTTTCCACTGGTCTTAGTACTTCTGGTGGAGTGCTGCACCTAATCAATGCCCAGTTCACACCTTCAAAGAAAGGATGCTGTTTGATCTCAGTTGCGCCTCTTTTAACCCCGAGACGATGCTTCGGCTCCTTCACCAGTAAGCCGCGGATCAGATCCTTGCTAGCGTAACTGGTCGCAGGAGACTCGGGAAATTTGAGCTGTTGACCTACTACATTGAAAAGCGTAGCACGGTTTCCTGACCCTTTGAAAGGGGTTTTGCCATATAATAATTCATGCAAGAATATTCCAAATGTCCACCAATCAACTGCACTTCCATGACCTTCCCCTTTGATAATTTCAGGGGCAAGGTATTCGTGGGTACCGACAAATGACATAGATCGAGCAACAGTAGGCTCAACTACAAACTCAGGAAGTCTGCTGGAAGGAAGGGAATTGGAAGATGGAAGTGAGCTGATTGAAGAGAAAGCAAGGGGACTGAGGGTTAAAGGAGATTTACTATTTTGCTTTTGTGTTAGCGAAGAAGAGGAGGAAAGGGATAGTTGTGAGGAGTTGGAAGAGAGAAGACAAATAGAAAGGTTAGAGAGAGTAGATTACTGTTTGTTTTTGTTTTGTGATGTGTCTCTTTTTTTTTTTTGGTATCATACAAAGAAAATTAAGAGGTCTTATATAGACAAGTGAAGAAGAAAAAATTGATTTTAAATTCAATCATGATCCATTGATTTGCATTTTCTCTGTATCAATCCACCACTTTTGCTAACAGCCAATGAGAGCATAGTATAGTGTAATCAATATATTTTTGTGACAAAAACGCCCTTAAATGATAAAATAAAATAAAAACCTGAAATTATAAAAAATAACTCAATTTAAAATGATTTTTTTGAATATTTTATGAATAAAAAATAAAGACCCAAAATGATCGAAAATGATAAAAAACAGACGAAAATTTATCCGAAAAAATAAAATGAACACATTAAAATAATCTACATGTCACAAAGATTAAAGAAAAAAAATATTCAAGAAGTCAAAAATCAAAAATAAAATAATAATAAAAATATCAGACTAAACAGACGTTTAAGGTTAAAAACGAGACTTCGAACTGTACCGAAAAAATAAAGCGAGCATACCGTCATAATCTACGCGAAGCGCAGATTCATAAAATGATCGGTAAAAGGTGAAAACTTGAAATATTTTCTCGCTACTTTCCCGCATAGTGTCGAATCACTTTTAACAGTCTGTCTATAAAACCGAAATATTTTATTATCGACATATAAACAACTTGGAGCAGTGCAAGAAAATAGTAAACAGATAAAAATGAATGAAGTGAAATGTCGGGTATTTTACAACTGAAAGACGATGCAAACTTTGATTTAAACTGACTTTTCCTGGTCAACTTAAATACGACTAATGATGCAAAAATGTGATGAATGAAGATATTTACTAATGATTGTGACCAAATAACAAAATATGATATGAAAGTGCGACTAAAACATATTAGGGGCGAAATTTAGGGTGCAACAGTTGTGCCTTGATGAATCAGTCTTCGAGAATCCACAATCAACCGTACTTCGGGCTTGGGAGACTCAAAACTTTAATTGAGGCGCGACACCTGATGCTCTTGATTCAGACCTGTCTCTGCACATGAAGTAAAAGAAAACATGAACATACACCTTTGTATGGATTAGAAATTAGTGATACATAGGCTAAAAATGTTCAAAACACTTGACAATCTTCGCATAGTCAATGCTTGAAGGTGAGAGATTAAAACCGACTGTATTTCGTGACCTTGACTTATCTTTAAAAAATGCAAAAAATAAAAATGGGATCTTAGGTCAAAAATTGGGGTACAACAGCTGCCCCTATTTAAGTTTCTTCTATCTAGAGATATGAAGATTGGGATCTTCATTTCGACGAGATTGAAGGGACTTAAATATAGAATACACAATTTTTGGCCTTAAGATACCGCGATTATGTTCATGATATGATATGAATGTAATGCTCTGAATTTTATGGGGAATGACGCCATATGAGACAGACTATGCTGGAGAAACCAAGCACATTATACAATAATCCCACAGAGGAAGAGGTTGTAACTCCATTGGGGAAACAGAGTCATAGACTTCAAATGAGAGACTCTTGAATGATTTACATCAGTGTTGAGACTGGAAAAGAAATGATTTATATCAGTACGAAGACTGGAAAAAGAAATGATTTACATCAGCACTGTGGCTGGAAAGCAAAATGATTAGATGCAAACTTCCCCACAAGACTTTTCCGAAGGGATGCCATTTGCTGAGTAGACATTATTGTTGGGGGATACACAAGCTGCTCAAATAAAGAAGCTGCCACTTGCTGTCTTCAAAAAAGTGCTATGACATACAAGCTGCTTAAATAAAGAAGCTGCCACTTGCTGTCTTCAAAGAATATTAAAATACACAAGCTGCTCATGAAGAGCTGCCACTTGTTGCTTATAACCCACAAGCTGCTCATGAAGAGTTGCCACTTGCCGTCTTCAAAGAATATTAAAACACGCAAGCTACTCATGAAGAATCTGCCACTTGTTGCCAATAAACCACAAACTGCTCATGAAGAGCTGCCACTTGCCGTTTTCAAAAAGTGTTGATAATATACAAGTTGTCCATGAAGAGACTGCCGCTTGCTGTTTTTTAAAAGATAACAATAACACACAAGTTGCTCGTGAAGAAACCGTCGCTTGCTGTTTTTTTAAAAAGTGTTGGTAACATACAAGTTGTCCATGAAGAGACTGCCGCTTGCCATTTTTCAAAGATAACAATAACACACAAGTTGCTCATGAAGAGACCGCCGCTTGCCATTTTCAAAGATAACAATAACACACAAGTTGCTCATGAAGAGACCGCCGCTTGCCATTTTTCAAAGACAACAATAACACACAAGTTGCTCATGAAGAGACCGCCGCTTGCTGTTTTTTCAAAGGTAACAATAACATACAAGTTGCTCATGAAGAGACCGCCACTTGATGTTTTCAAAGGTGACAATAACATACAAGTTGCTCATGAAAAGACCGTCGCTTGATGTTTTCAAAGGTGACAATAACATACAAGTTGCTCATGAAGAGACCGCCGCTTGCTGTTTGTCAAGAGTATCCATAACACACAAGTTGCTCATGAAGAGACCGTCACTTGCTGTTTGTCAAGAGTATCCATAACACACAAGTTACCTCATGAAGAGACTGCCGCTTGCTGTTTCCCAAAAAGATACCCATAAAATATCGTGAAGATATTGCTGGAGGTGAGAACCAATAATTTCATCGGGGATGGACAAATTGTTCATGAAGAGACCGCCATTTGTCATAAAGAAATCAGAAATAATCAAACTGCTCAAATAAAGAGTCAGTCGCTTGTTGTCATGTCGATATTCTAGAAGAAGGTTGTGATAACACTACTAGGGAATAAAGTTCATCTTCAGTGGGAAACCAAGAATGGATCCTTCCTGAGAAGACCAAGTATTTACATTGCAAAATAAATTCACTCTCCATCTAGGTTTCACAGCCTAGAGATATCCACAGGGTATCGTTCACAAGAGACAAAGCTCAATCCAGGAATAAACTGGAGAGAAAAACAGTCAAACAAGACTCCACCCAATGAGGAAACAACTCAAATGGGGATTTATCCTATCCAGAGATGGAAAAGGAAAGCTAAAGCAAGATTCTTCCACGAGAGTTAACTCAGTGAGGAATTAGAAAGAAGGCACATTTTTTTCTTAAGTTGGCACTCTACTTGGAAAGATCAAATACATTATTTGAATAGACCCAACCAAGGTATACGAACTCAATGACATCAACAAATACAACTGTGCGTGCATGATGCAAGTGTGAATGAATAAATGAATGCCATGTATGTGCTGACAAAACAAATAGACAGGATAAACTGGAGATGATAAGACATCATAGCACAACCCAACACTCGGCTAATCTCAACAAGATGGGAACATTACTGGAGATAAAACACCGGCCATCATTGGAGCAAGGTCCTTTTACAAGGCTTAAATATCTCTGGAGAGGAAGATATTTTCAGGTAGAAAACCCAAAGTCCAGTCTTCTATTGCAAACAATCCATTGAAAGGATAACAACACAAACAAAGTTTCAGTTGGAAAGAAGTCTTGCTTAGCTGGAGATACTGGGAACACCACCCTCTGATAATGTATGAAAAACATATCTTGACAAATCTGGATTGCCCCTAGGATTAATTTTGGATGCCCCAAGTTTACTGCTGATAAGCTGCGTGATGCACGACAATTCTTGTGAATAACTTTACCTCTAAAATGCCCCGAGCTATATGGTTGATGAGGAGAAATCGTCTCAAGAGGATTTTACAAAAGACCTAGCATTCACCATGCTCTGGTGTCTTCAAACTCTTAGAGAGATTCATCAAATCTTTACGTGATTGCCCCGGATTGACTGTAGTCGGCACAACAAAGTCTTCGAATTTTTGCCCCAAACGAGCAAACAAGTTGGGAAAAGCATTAACTGGGAGAAGCAACATGTTCGTGTTTACGGTCTTTAGGTGACATGCCCATGGATATGATTTTTTCTTGACGTGATCCGCCAATTACTCAACATAGTTTCAGGCCTTAAAAGAATAAACTCATCACTGGTGCTTATGTGAGCCTCCTTGATATCAAACAAATGTTTTGCAGTTATAAAAAGTTTACAATGAGAATGAAAATTCTAATGCAACAGTTATGTAAGTCTTGAAAATTTTGAAAGATATCGCACAAATTTTGCGAGTTAAAGCACCATTTATTTTTGTATAGGAAAAACATATGATACCAACATAACTATTTAGAACATTCATGGGAGTCAGGAACACTATCTCATTGAAGTATGCTTTCAAAATAACCTTGCTTTAATTAGGACTTTTGAAGGTTGTAACGTGGTCTGGTTCATGGTTTTTTTAGAAAAAAGATTTTAAGGCTCAAAATATTTGGTGCCCACCCATTCTTCATGATGTTCTCCAACCTTATGTTCAGTTAATTCAAACATGAGTGTTCATCTCTCAAAAGGATTTTGTGACGGTCGAGGAAACGACGAGGCTTTCAGAGTAGAAACCACCCTCATGTCTTCGTGTTTGTAGTCACCAATTTGTTCTTTGCTGAGGACTTTTCTTTGCAGTCTTTTTCTTTGCAATTTTTATTTTCCCCAACTTTTGCCTGAACTAATTCTTTTGAATTGATAGTCCAGCGGGATGCCTTAATTTTGCCTAAGTCACACGTTTTCATTTTTTTTTTGACTTAGCAGGCTTTTCTTTTTCTTGATTTTTGACTTTTTGAACAAAATGTGTGACATTAGCTTGTCTTTGCTTGTTGAGAGGATTGGGATTGCCTCGTTTCTTGATGAATGAGGGATAACATTGTGATTCCACATCTTCTGGCTTCATTATACATGAAAGATAGCCCTCGTAGTTTCTCTTCAGAAATATCTTCCTAATGAATTTTGAACACTCAATCAGATTAACTGAAAACTACCCTGCCCCAGGTTAAAAGTTGAGGGTTTTTTCGCATAGAAAAGAAACTTCTACTTCAAGGCTCAAAAGGGGTTAGCAAGGGATTATCTTCCTTATATCTCCTGTGTTTAGGGATTAGAAACAATGCCTGTACATCATCAACAAGATCTTATTCAAAAGCATGCAACCAAAGATTTTGTGTTTTTTAGATCATCATCCTCCCTTCAATCTCTGCCTAGGCAAGAGAATGGGCAACAAGTTGGTATCATAATGCAAAAAGAAATTTGAAATTTGAAAACAAATATGAGTGAAACGAATGAATTTCTTCAAGACAAACATACCCATTGTATTAAGATAATCATTCAGATGCAAACAAGTTCTTACATGCAAACAATGTTTTGATAAACAAGAAAAATTACAAAAAGCATGAATAAGTTAATAATCTAGGAAGGCTTTCCATCTGGACTTGAATTACCGAAAACATCCTTCAAAACTCAGAGTGACCATCAACCGTGTTTACTCTTCGGCACATGCTTGATTTGAACTTCAAAACCAACGTTCTTGAATGACAAGATACCACTTTTGACCAACTTCTGAACCTCAATCTTCAAAGCAAAGCAACCCTCCAAGTCATGCCCAGGAGCACCTTGATGAAAGGTACAAGTCAAATCAGCTTTGTAGTACCAATGTATCTTCTCAGGAACCTTCGATGGAGGTCGGGTCTGAACCAAATTCCTCTGCATCAGGATAAGGAACAACTCTGTATAGGTAATTGGAATTGGATCAAATTGAGTTTTCCTCTGATTAGGAACTTGCTGATTCTGTTGATAAATGGGAGAAACATGATGATTCTGATGATGATTATTTCTTCCTCTGGTTCTCTTCTTGGAAAAGTCATTATCAAACTTCTTCACACCATTAGCTGAGCTACCATATTCATATAAACATCCCTTTCAGGCATCTTCTTCTAGACGCACTCCCACATTCACCTTGTCAGGAAAGTCACTAGGCGCGTTAATTATCATCTTCTCATGATTTCAGAGTTTCAGTGAAGAATTTTATCCTCGCTTCCTTTCTCCTAGAAGGATTGACTTGGGAGGCAACCAAAATTTCAACCAAACCAGTTAAGCGCTCCATACTAGCTTTCAAAATAGTCATCTCTCTACGGAGTTCAGAAACCTCTTGCTTGATATTCTCCATTGTTCTCTTAGCGCGAGTGTTGTACTGGTGAGACCAAAGGAAAAATAAGACTCGAAAAAAGACCTTTGAAAGTGAAACAAAAAATGTAGAATGATGTATGATATGCAAAAGAGAGTTTTTATTTGATTTTCAAGGAACTCAAGATATTAAGTTGTAAACATCAAAGTATGAAGATAGAAGATGAATTTTAAATTGGCTCCAAACATTGATCAAGTTATCATCAAGATCAATCATCCACTTTGGTGGATTAGGGTTTTCGCCCTATCAACACCCAAGATCCATTGAGCTTGACGAAACTTGTGATGTTTACAAAGAAAGACCTCCAAATTCCTTCAAAGTCAAGTGAAAAGGGTTTTATGGATGCATGGATGCATGGCTATGCAACAACCAAAAGCAAGGTCACAAATAAAGTCGAAAGGTTCAACGTCACGAGCATGGAGTCAAGGTAAGGAACACCCCTAAGGTATGTACTAACAGTTTAATCACACCTGTAGAACAAGGTTCTAAGAGTTCCTGGAGTCTACATTCCTCCTTCGGATATTACCAACGTCTTGATTACTCAATAATCAGTAATATTCTCAAGAGAAACTCATCTAAGCGTAGCATCGTATAACAATTACTTCCAGATTACTCCGTTATAATCTCCGCGCTACACCTAAAAGGCCGAGATGGGTTAGGGTTCTACGGTTCCCAGCTTCTCTGGCTCCCAGGTCGAAAATAATAATGTCTTCCCGATTACTCGGTAAACAAATATTACATTCAAAAGGGCCTTCCACTGAGTGGGGGATCTCATGCCTCCTTCTTCGGGATTACTCCCTCAAAGTTAACATGACTATATCGCCCGTCCTATTCCTAAGTGTAACTTAGTCCGGGTATAGGACTTGTCCTTTGTAAATATTATCAACACCCAAATAATCATAATATATACATATAATCAAACAATCAAATAATGATAAAACAGATAAAACAAATTAGGCTTAACCCACTTAGGGATGGACCAGTAAGAGGTCAATCTTTCCCCAGCAGAGTCGCCAATTCTGTAGCGGTGAAAATCGGAGATCAAGCTATTAATTAACTTGACTCACAAAAGCAAG